GCCATCACATAGATGTGCTTTGTGCTTAAGTGGTATTTTTAATGCTTATTTTGTATTCAAAGTGCATCCACCTAAATGATTATCATTGTTAATGGTAGTCACTAGAGTGTTTACAATCTCATTGAAAGAATTCTTTAGAGCCCAGAGACCTTTGCTATTAACTTTTTGAGTATGCACATAGGTTCTGAAAGAAGCTTAATGTCTCATTGTTCATCTCTAGGGTATGAGTCATGTCAGACTATGGGCAGTATTCCAAGCACTCTCTCCATTCAGGGATGAGCAACAAAAGAGAGCTATCAGGCAGGCATCTGCCTGGCGGTCTGTGAGGTGACCTGACACTCTGAGGGTGCACAGTCCAGGGAAAATAGTACAACCTGCTCACCATGAACTCACCTCCATCATCTAAGGTCATGGCAGTAACAAGAAATAACACAACAGCAACTTTTACTGAGCCCTTAACAGGTGCGAGGGGATCACCTAAGCACTTAACATCAATGGGATCATTGAATGCTCACAATAACCAAAGATTATTACTATGTTTAGCAATTATTTGACACACTTGTCCATGGTCAAACAGCTAGGATGTGGCCATGCTGAGGTTGACCTCTGGCTAAATAACTAAAGCTTGTGCACCTCACCTCCCATTTATTCTGCTAATCTGTCCCACCTAATTGAGACATTTACCATACTTATCCCAAGTCTTAGATTTTGAAGTGTGAATTTTTTTTTTTACTGTTGGCATGAGTTTTCAGAAATTTTACTAAATCTCTGCTGTTTTTAACATCATTTGTTGGGGGAGATAATATAATATCCTGTTGGTTGGTGCCATCTGATGCAAGGAAGTGTTAGGATACTGTTAACTGAGGACTGGCCGCCTATGGAAATCACATACATTAGAAAGGATACAGTTATTAACAGCATTAAAATTATAAACAGCACTAAGTAGTAAGAACACTCCATATAAAACATGGCTGTGGGGAAATCAGGTGGTACGTTAGTTTCCTGCTGCTGCTGTTATAAATTTCCACAAACCTAGCAGCTCAAAACAACACACATTTATTGCCTTACAGTTCTAGCGGTCCCAAGTCCAAAATGGGCTTACAAGGCCAAATCAGAAAGGTGGCAGAGTTGTGTTCGTCCTGTGACACAGGCTCTGGGGCAAGATCTGCTTCCCGGCATTCCTAGAAGCAGCAGCTGCCTGCACTCCTTGGCTCATGGCCTCCCACCCCTTCGATCTCTGCTTTCATGGTCACACCTCCTGTAAGGCAAACTCTCCTACCTCCTTTTTCTTTGTTGTCTCCTAGGGCTGATTGATCTCCTTTTTAGACTCTGGCTCTCCTACCTCTCTTTTGTGAGAATTCCTGTGATTACGATGGACCTACTTGGATATTCTGGAAGACCACCCCCATCTCAAAGAGATCCTTAACGTAATCTAATCTGCAGAGTCCCTTTGGCTCTAGATTTTATTTATTTGAGAGACAGAGAGAGAGAAAGAGAGAGAGAGAGAAAACTCTCATCTGCTCATTCACTTCCCAGATATCTGCAACAGCCAAGGCTGGCCCAGGCCAAAGCGAGGACCTGAGAACTTAGTCCAGGTTTCCCACATCTGCTGCTTCGCAGGCTGTGCATTAGCAGGAAGCTGGAACTGGGAGCGGAGTTGGAACTGAAACCCAGGCACTCTGACACAGGATGCAAGCACCCCAAAAGGCATCTTAACCCCTAGGCCAAATGGCTGCTCCTCTCTTTTGCTGTATAAGGTAACAGATTTACAGGTTCTAGAGATTAGCAGGGGAATCTTACAGTGGATTGCACAGGGAGCACCTAGTAGAGAAGCAGCCCCAGCTCAAGGCCCTCCCCAGCAAGAGAAGGAGAAGCAGAGCAAAAGGGAGGCATATGAGCACTGCATCAGCAAGTCTGACCACAGCTTGTCATTCTCAAATGGAGTCATCTGGTAGAGGTATAGCAGACAATTTCAGACAGGTGTATGGCCAGAACCAAGAATAAAGCATCATTTCAAATAAATAATTTTTTAAAAAATAGATTAAGAGGAAAAACAATTATCTAAGAGACATTAACAACATATTTGATAAAATTGCATACCCATTATTTATTTAAAAATGAAACTTTACAAACTAGCAATAACTTCTAAAGAACCTGTATGGTGGAATTATTCACACACATACTTAAAGATGTATTAACAGAGATTTAAGACTAAAAGGAAAATGACTATCAAGTAGGTGACAAAATTACGGTCATTGGTAGATAAATTTTGTATAGCCAGAAAATTTAGGAAAATAATTCACAAAATCATAACGTTCCCCCTGCAAAAGAAGAAATAACCAGTTAGAGTTATAATATATGGTCCAGGCAGTTCCTGCTTATACTAACTTCCTGTGTTAGTCTACAAGGGTTACCACAACAAAATACCAGACTGCTGGCTTAAACACACATGTACCTTCTCATTCCTGGAGGCTGGAAGTTCAAGATCAAGGGTTTGGAAGGTTCAGGTCCTTTGGAGGCCTCACTCCTCAGCTTGCAGACAGCTGCCTTCTCCCTGTGTGCTCCCCAGGCTTATCTTCGAGTATGGGCATCATGGTGCCTCTGAAACATCTAAATGTTTTCTCCAGGGACCCAGTCACACTGGATGAGTAGGGCCCTCCCTAATGGCCTTACTTTAAACTCAACCACCTTTTGAAGATCCTGACTCCAAAAGCAGTCACAAAGGGGTCAGATTTCAACATATGAAGTTGGGGAAATTGTCACAATTCAGCCCATAGCATCCCCAGAAAACATACAACACCTAGACCTAACCCTAAAATGATATCTGAACAATCTAGAGGAATGCGGCGATATCATGAAATCCATGAAAAGACAGAAACAAACACTTGAACAAATGAAGAAATGGGCCACGTTCTTCAGGGAAGCCATTTTGAGAAGTAAAGTCAGGGTTAGGGTTAGGGTCAGAGTTAGGGTTAGGGTTAGGGTTAGGGTTATAGGTTATAGGTTAGGAATAAAGCACAAATTCATTCTAAATTACTTAATAGAGGTAATACGATTCTAACCAAATGCCCAGTAGAGTATTTTTCAAATATCTCACCCCTCTTTTTCATTTCTCTTTTATATTTGTAATACTATCTCTAATTGTACATTCTTTATTCCTAATGGAGTGTGCCACCGTCAGCTCAGACCCATTATCTTTCACCCCAGATCAAAGTTTCCAGCCACCTCACATCTAGTGTAGCAAGATTCCTCCATGGAGACAAGGCAACCAAGGCCTCCTAACAAGGAGTAGTCTTTTATTATGCCAGCATAAAGCCCAGATGGAAACTTTTATCCAAAAGTCTGAGTCCCGAACAAAGAAGGGTTTTCTTTTATATATGGTTTTAGCCTCTTCATCTCCCTTATATCGGATCTTCTAATGTTACACAGAGGCCACAGGATTGATAGAATACTGCCCGTGCAAAGGCAGTTACAGAAGATGTTTCTTTTCCCATCTGCTGTCTGGCAAGGGTTAACATCACTGCTCTGTAGTAACCAGCAGAACCTGAGATGGTTACATATAAGCAGATCGGGACTACAGCCGAAGCATTCATAGGGAAGCAGATAACAACCACATTTCATTCCCAAGACAGATGCCTCCCTTTTTCTTCTTCTGACCTTGGGAAGGCCTCTGCCACAACTTTGATCATGTCAGTTAGAAACAAGTTGAATTAAAAGACAAAGGCCTCTGTCACACTAGCAATGGAGAACCGTCACTCTACCAGTCACCTGGGATAAAATCTTGGGTTTATCTTGGAAACTTCTGCCTTGCATCCATCTATAATACAGCAAGCCCTGGGGCCAGTGCTGTGGCACAGAGGGTAAAGCCACCGCCTGCACTGCCACCATCCCATATGGGCACCAGTTCGAGTCCCAGCTGCTCCACTTCCCACCCATCTCTCTGCTCTAGCCTGGGAAAGCAGTGGAAGATGGTCCAAGTCCTTGGGCCCCTGCACTTGTATGGGAGACCCGAAAGAAGCTACAGGCTCCTGGCTTCCGATCGGCGCAGCTCCAGATGGAAGACCTCTCTCTCTCCCGGCCTCTGCCTCTCTCTAACTCTGCCTTTGAAATAAATAAATCTTAAAAACAAAACAAAACAAACAAACAAAAAAATAGCAAGCTTGTGCAACCGTTCTTGTGAGGAGGTCAACCAGTGCCAGCAATTCCACTGCCATCAGCCCTCCTGACCCCACACTTAGATCCTAACTCTAGTGACCACCATCATCGAGATTAATCTTTCTCAGATATGGTTCTCCTCATTCTCTCCCAAGTATCCAATAACTACCTGACAAGTCAGTCATTGCACCTCAGTCTACTCATCTATGAAATGGGAAGATGACAATATTTGCCTCATAGAGTTGTTATGGAAAGTAAAGAGTTAATAATCTTAGAGTACTTAGAACAGAAAGTAGCTTATACACATTTGCTAAGTAAATAAATATCATTCCCGATGTTTAACTTGGCAGTTACTCATTCCTAAGGGTTTGGACACTGTATTTTCATTTCAAGTGATTATATTGAGAAACAATTGACAAATATTCTACCGATGAGTGTGGGTGTTCATTATAGCAGTGTTTTTAGTATAGAGAGACTGAAGGCAATCTACTTGCCTGTTGGTAGAAAACAATGCTAAATAAAAGACAGTGATGTCACAGCATGGAAGACTAGGGAGACCAAGGTAAATCTGTGGATAAAAAGATAACACCTGTGATGAAAGGCTGGTTACATAGCATATTACATGGAAGAAAAGCAAGTTAAAGGACAAAAGGTACAATATGCTTCCCTGCACTTCTTTGAGCATAAAGGCTACCCAGGAAGTTGTGAGCAGACAGCCGCCTCTGTTAGGAAATGAGCAGGGATGCATTTACCACAGTAAACGTGTTACTTTTGTCATTACAAAGGAATAGTGAGAGAGGAAAAACCAAAATGTTGAAAACTTCCTTGTTTCTTGGAAAACTCACCAGAGGACAGCTAAGCTGGTTCTTTTGTTTTTGACGGTCACAGCAGCTGTGTCTGGAGGGAATGGGATCCTGGTGAACTCGGGGCTGGTGAGGATTTGCTCCAGAACCTCTGCCTTATCAAAGCCACCGCCTGCAGCACCTGTGTCCCACATGGGCTCGGGATGATAGGTCCCTGGCTGCTCCACTTCTGATCCAGCTCCCTGCTGATGTGCCTAGGAAAGCAGTGGAAGATGACCAAGTGCCTGGGCCCCTGCACCCTCTTGGGAGACCCAAAAGAAGCTCCTGGCTTCTGCGTGGCCCAGCTCTGGCTATTGAGGCCATTGGGGTGGGGAGTGAGTGAACCAGTGAATGGAAGAGCTCCCCCCCCCCCCTTTCCCTCTCTGTAACCCTGGCTCTCAAATAAACTTTGGGGCGGGGTGGGGGAAGAAGGGCTTTCAACAGCTTGCAGGGCTGCCTCCAACGTTAGCTTCTGTTTGCTCTCTGGGAAATGGGCATTAGGAAATACTGTAGCTTCATCTGAAAGTCAGCCATCAGATACAGCCGCCAGGGGAATCTGAGAGGCGGACCCTTCCAGGAGGGGAAGGGAGCCTGGGCCGTAAGATTATGCTCTCAGCTTCCACTGGAAGGCGCAGTCTCCTCACACTTTTGAGAACCACTTCCGCCACCCAGAGAAGATTCGAGACTGTAATAAAGTCCAAGTCCAGCACCTTTGAAAAATCCCTCAGTCTAGGGAAGTTTTTCAGAAGTTCCTATCTGTCCAGAATCAAAGGGTCTGGTGTGTCGGACAGGGTGGACTGGACTGGCTGCGAGAGGAAGCAGCCTCAAATAAATGAATCACGCGGTGTACTCTAACCACCTAGGCACCTGCTCGCCTGAAAAACAGCTTCTTGTTTTCATTTGTCATAACTGGGCTCATTGGGCAGCAGGAAGCCAGGCCTTAGCTGCCACCCGGTGACGCTGATGACGCTCAATGCGTCCCAGCTGCTGCAATTAGAAAGGCTGAGCCGTCCCCTTTAAGAAGCTGACTCACGTGGACGCTGTGTTGTGTGCTCTCAGCTGGGAGGAGGGGTGGATCCTAACTCTCACCACATTGGCTGTCTCGGGAGAGGGGGCAGAGCTAGCCTCTTTAATTGGCTGTAAGAATCCGAAGTGACGGGTTGGGGGCGGAGCGAGCTGTAGTAAGCCCGCCTTGGATCCGCGGCTTCTGGTGGGGGGGGTGGGCCGCCTAGCGCTGGGGAGCTGGAGTGGGGGAGGGTGAGCTAGAGAAGGGGCGGGGCCCAGCGGAAGGGGCAGGGAGCCAGGGAGAGGGGCGGGGCCTAGGAATGAAGGGCGTTCTGGGCCAACCGGGAGAGCCGACTGCGTGGGGGCGGAGCTACATAGGGTGATTGACGCTGAGGCCCGACTAGGAGGAGGCGGGGCCAAGGCTGGGGCCTGACTAAACCTGAAGATTCGGGTGGCCGAGGGGCTTCATCGCAGCTGAGGACCGAAAAGACGCTGGCAGCCGCGGATCTCACCGCCGCTCAGGGTAAGTCCCGCGGCGGGGGCTGGGCTCGGGGCCCGTGGGGGCTGAGGAGACTCTCGCTCGGGTCGGGCGGCTTCGACGCGCTCGGGGCTCGGCCCCGGGTGGGGGCCCAGGCAGGAAGTGCCTGTTCCCCGCTGCGCCCGTCCCGGGGTCCCAGCGCGGCCGCCCCCGGCCCCTCTGGGCGGGCCCGGCGTCCGGGCTGCTGGGCGACTAGCCTGGCTGTCTGCTCTTTGTGAGGCCCTGGCGCGGCGGCCGCGGTCGGCCCGCCTCCGCCGCGCAGCCCGGCGGCCGCCGCGACCACAACAGCCGCGACCCCTCGGCTCCTTGCCGGCGCCGCGCCCAGCCTGGCCGCCGGGCTCACAGGCCCTCCTCGGCACGGAAGCCCCCGGCGGCCCGCCACGGACATTTAACACCGAGACACCCCCCCCCCCCCGCCCCGCGTCTCGTCTGCCCCGCCCCCACCGCACCGCCGTGCCCGCCGCGCAGTCGGGGGCGCGCCCGGGCTCCGCGCGCTGGGGTCCGCGTCCCTCCCCCGGGGCTCGGCGTCCACCCGCCCGACGTGAAGTCCCAACTTGGACGCTGAGTTGTTTGGGCCGTGGGGACTCCGCGGCGCGTCCCGCTGGGCCGGAGCGGCATTGCCCACGGCAGGGGTCGGCGCTTGCTGTTCTCGCCGCGGGGCGAAATTCGCCCCTCCTGCCCGGCCCGCTCCCGGACCGCGGGCGGCGGGCAGGGCGTGACGGCTGGGCGTCGCGGCGCCCAGCTGTTCCTGCTTGTGTTTGTTGTGCCGGAGGAGGCCCTGCTCCGCGCTCGGCCGCCCGGCAGCTCCCGATTGGCCGGCGGGCGTCACGTGGCCGCGATCAGCTGGCCGACGGGCTGCGCGGCCGGGGTCGCCGGGGTGCGGCCCGCGGCCCGCGTCCTGCCTGCGCCCGTGGAGGGTGGGTGCGCCTCGCACGGCCTTGGCGCCGCAGTGCTGCGCAGGCCGGTCGGACAAAGTTAAGAGCAGCGGGAGTGGGGAGCGGAAATACTCCAAAAATATGCTAATCCCGACACCCACTAATCCCCCTTCCAGGGGAGTCCGGGAAGGTGGACAGCCCGTTTATTTTTGAACTTTCTCTGTTTTCAGAGGCCTCTTGGTAACCCGAGGATTTTTATTCCAGGTCTCCTGGACAGATGGAAAACCTGAAGGCACCTCAGGCTAACCTTGTGTTTTTGGAAAGTCAGCCGACTTGTTGGTGAAGTGGGTGGTGGGGGGAGGTAATAGACTATTAGCTGACTTAGCGTAGCCGCTGCGTTCCAACGAAGAGGAACCTGAACGCGTGCGGTGTTCCGGGCTACATGTTCGTGCCTGATGTGAAGTGCCTGGGCGGCTTCTTTCCCTAAAAGTTTACCGCATCTGTGCCCTGGGTTAGGTAAGAAGGAAATGACGAGCACTTGGCGTTTGTTCTGTAGAAGCAGCTTACAGTTCAGTAGAAAGCCATAGGCAGATGAACCTGATTGGCAGTACAAAGTGTAGTTAGGAAATGAGGTGGAAAGAAGCAGGAAGCAGTGTGCAGTGAATTGGGATTGAGTAGTCCTAGAAAATGAAAAGACTGTGGGTTGCCGTTGGGCAGAGAGGGGCTTAGGTAAATCAGGCCTGGAGCATTTACAAGGAGCCGGAAGAGGGGGCTTGTACGGTTTGGCACACAAAATACTTCCCACATGTCATCGTCTTTCTCCGTGTGTTCTGGACCCCAAGTAGGGTGTGTGAGCTTTGGAGGTGTGCTGCACCCTCGCCTGGCCTTGAGTCTGATACAGAATTTTGATGTTTATCTCTAGCAGCCACCTGTTTTTAGGAAAGAATATGATGGAATGTGCTCAGTTATTTAACTCTGTACAGGGAAGCTAAGTCAATCGGATTTTAGCAGTAACTTTTCTAAACAAGGTTGGTAAAATTTATTTAACCTCTTCTAACATGTAATCTGGTTGGATCTCTGGACCTGCTATTTGCCTTTTCTGTTCTTTAAATGGTAGGAGAAAGAAACATTTAGAAACAATAAAATAAAAGGAGATAAGGCCAAAAATTAAATGAAAAGAAATTAAGCTGTTTACAGCTCTCCAAAAAGCAAACAGTCCTTGAGGCATGAAGCTAGTCCTAAATGTGTCCATGGGATGTGAAAGTAGCCATAAATGCATTCATGCCCAGTGTATCATTCTAAGCTCTGTAGCACCTAAATGGCTTTGAGTCCGGATCTGTTTCCCTGGCAGTCCAGTGTTGTAATGCCTGGTGTAATGTAGGGACTGAACCTTAGCTAGGCAATGCTACTTGACACCTGAACCAGGAAACCAGACAGTTAAATTATGCTCTCATCCATCCACTTGGAGGCTTTTGATATTGTATCACAATAAACTGACCATGAATTTATCTTGTCAGGAGGTTTTCTGGGAGATTACCAACTCAGATCATTTAATGACTCACCATGACTCGCTGAGTTACATGACAAGTCTTACTTTCTAATGATGACTAATCAATACTGTGGACATCCAGTAAACTTGGAAATCATGTAGCAAAACAGAAAAACAAGACATTAATTATACGAAGGGAGAATGCAAAAACTTGTGCCTAAAAATTGCTATGAAATGATGGCCTGACTCCACAACTCAAAAGACATTTTACAAAGCAAAGTAAGCTGGTCAGCTATTGCCAGAAGGTTGCACAGCTCTCTGTCACAGAAACCTTGGCGTGGTGAATATCTTGGACGGGAGTTGGAATATTGGTTGTATGGATCAAATTCTATTTGCTGTGTAGGTTTTCAATAGAATTTGAAATTTCACACAAAGCATTATGAAAGTGGTTGCTGAAATTACAGTTGCCTTAAATGTTAAGTATTACAGTAATTAACTCAGCATTGTTAAAAGCTCTGGGTTGTGTTCCTTTCGGGGTGTGTGTGTGTGTGTTTAAGAGAAGGTACTGAAAACCAGATTACATGCTTTCAAAGTGATTCTGTTTTGGCAGAATCACTACAACACAACACCTCTGGAAGGGAAGACTCCTTTAACTCTTTCTGTGCTGTGCTCCTGCATATGCATTTCCCTGAAGCAATCTTTGTACCATGCCTGTGCCCACTCTGCTAGTGCCCTGGAAGACTCCTGGTCTGTTCAGTGCTGGAATTCGGAGTTCCGGAGAGAGAGGGAGAGTGTGTGTGTGTGTGTTTTCCATGGAGATGCCTTAAGGGGATAATTCCTTTATAAAGGAAAAGTCTGTATGTGAAGTAGATGTTTTCTTACCAGAATGTTTTATGAGATGCAAATTGATACCTATTCTCCCTGGTATTTTTGGGGTTGGGAAGTAGCACCTCCTTTTGCTAATTTCACTTGCCAGGTTTGAAACCAAACTGAAGGCTAAATTATAGGAGGGACAAAGACCTATTTTAGAATCAAGATCTAAGACATTAAGAGTTGTGATGGTTCAGAGGTTTCTGCCTTTCCTTCTGCATGTGATTTCTATCACGTGGTCACTGTGCTTTGCTGTAGTTAACAGGAGGTGAGGCCAGTGGGTTTATTGTTCCACATCTCTTCTGAGCTTTGCTTTCATCATCGGTAATAGAGGGAAGCTGAGATAGGAGAATGTTGAGAAAGGTAGTCTGGTTTTTACTGTCCTTTCTTTAGCACTCACTGTGTGCTGGGCAATGTTGTGGGGAATGTGTTTATTTAATTTTCATAACACAGAGAATGGATATTGCTAGCCCACCAGTTGCCAAGCTGTTGAGGGAAAGAGCTGAGATCTTAACCCAAGAAGTCTGGACACTAGGAAATCTATACTGTTCAATTTTTAACATACTGCATTACTGCAGACTTTGTTTTTCGAGGATTTCTGAATGAAAAGTGTCTGCTCTAAAAGACTTTATAGCTTCTGTAAATTAAACTAAAGGCAGTCATCCTAAAATGTGATTGCTTCACCAGATCACTGACAAAATAGAGATTGGAAGTTCCAGGGGGCTAAATGTGCTGGCTTTTAGAGGGAGATGAAATGGAAAACAATTGCTAAAATATTTATGAGTCATCTATGAATTTCATATATTTTCATCCTGACCCCTCAGCTGTTTCAGGTAATTTCAAATCAGTTGAGAATGGATTCCCAGTTACATAACTGAGAAAATTATTTTTCTTATTTCAATCTTTTTAGAATTTTTATAACCTGGCACTTTGAAAAACTAGTATCCAAGAGGCCTTATTCATGAAATTATCTGGGAATTTCACTTATAAAAATTAAACATAATTAGTGTTTTTTGCTTAAGATATTAAAAAGCTATGGAGCATCTTAAGTAAAGCTTAAGCTGAAATTACTATGAGTTTGGCTCTTATTTCAGCCATAAACTTGGAACACAGAGATACCACAGCATCCATTTTATTATTAATGGATGTAGTAAAGTGCCCCCACAGTCAACAGAGTTAGCCATCTGTGAAAGCAGCTTGCTCTAAAGAAGTTTTAGAAATTTGTGATGGAGATTTGGGATTCCTCTAAGTCCAAGCAAAGCACATCTAAGAAATGGTTCACTTGTTGTTGTTTTTGACAGGCAGAGTTAGACAGAGAGAGAGGTCTTCCCTCCGTTGGTTCACCCCCCAAAATGGCTGCTATGGATGGCCGGCTCACTGCGCTGATCCGAAGCCAAGAGCCAGGTGCTTCTCCTGGTCTCCCATGTGGGTGCAGGGCCCAAGCACTTGGGCCATCCTCCACTGCACTCCCGGGCCACAGCAGAGAGCTGGCCTGAAAGAGGGGCAACCGAGACAGAATCCGGCGCCCCAACCAGGACTAGAACCCAGGGTGCCGGCACCGCAGGCAGAGGATTAGCCTAGTGAGCCGCAGTGCCGGCCTGAGAAATGGTTCACTTGTAACAGTAATCAAACAGAAGAGGGATCAGTAGTTGGCAGTGGCTGGGTGTGATGAGAGTGACTGGCTACAGACTGGTTGGTGGGAATTTGGGGGCATGATGGAAACATTCTAAAGCCAATTTGTGGTGATAGTGGCACAATTTTATAAATTTATTAAATATTGTTGAATTGTATGCTTGCAGTAGGTGTCTTTTATTGTATGTAAGGTGTTCCTTAATAAAACTGGTTAAAAAAAGAACCAACTATTTCTCTGCTGTGAGAAAAAACATTTCTAAGTTTATATTAGAGCAGTCTGAACATTTGGAAAAGGGCGGCTGGAGCACATGCTTTTGACCATATTTTTGCAGCACCATGTAGCTTAGGACAAAGGTAGTGACCCCTGTGAATGTGTGTTGCATTTAAAAATATGCACTCCTTGACCACGGAAGATTTATCTAGATGTGGTGAGGGTTTGAATCCAAAGACGATGGGGGACAGGTGTGGGGAGAGACTTCCAAGGATGATTGTGGAGATGGCTCCAGTTTTTCAGTTATTTTTGAAGTTGCCAGGGTTGAGGAGAGTTGTGATCAGAATTGCCACCAGCTAAGATAGGGAATACAGGAGGAATATGGAGGCGCAAGAAGTTCATGATAAACCTGAGTCTAGCAACCTTCTGGGTGTGGGAGAGTGAATGGTGTACAAAGAACTAGAACAGGGTTTAGTTCTCACCCCTGCTTGGCCACTTTTGGAAAATTGGATGGTCTCTGTCTATAAAAGTGAGGTAATAAATCCCTACTTTTGATTTTGTCAAAATTAAATGTGGTATGTAAAGTACCAAGTACAGTGCCCCATGCAGTGTAGACACATACAAGACTAAGGTTCAGTTTACTCTCTGGATACAGAGAAGCCTGATTCAAGTGTTACATCTTAGTTTTTAATGACTTTCCTTCTTAAATAATAAAGTGGCTGTCCTAGGCTGCTGTAACCAAATACCACAGACTGGTGGCTATAAACAACAGAAAGTTATTACAGTCTGGAGGCTGGAAGTCCAAGATCAAGGCACAGGCAGAGTTGATGTACAATGGGGGCCTTTTCTATGTTCACTGGGCCTGTGTCCTCATGTGGTAGGAGGAGGCCTTTTCCAGGTTCCTTGGGCCTGACTATGTCCTCAGGTGGTAGGAGGAGGCAGGTCAGCTCTCTCGGACCTTTTTTTTTTTTTTTAAAGATTTATTTATTTATTTGAAAGGCTAAGTTGCAGAGAGAATCTTCCATCCACTGGTTCACTCCCCAAATGCCCACAATGGCTGGAGCTGGGGCGATCTGAAACCAGGAACCTGGAGCTTCTTCCAGCTCTCCCACACAGGTATAGGACCCGAGGGCTTGGGCCATCCTCTACTGCTTTCACAGGCCATAGCAGAGAGATGGATCGGAAGTGGAGCAGCCGGGACTCAAAACGGGCACCCATATGGGATGCTGGCATTGAAGGCAGCAGCTTTACCTGCTATGCCACAGGGCCAGCCCTAGGACCTATCTTTAAAAGGACAATGATTACATTCATAGGGCTCTGTCTTAGTGACCCTTAACACCATCACATTGGTGATTAGGTTTTAGCATGATGGATTTTATTTTTTAGAAAGATTTAATTATTAATTTGAAAAGCAGTGTTAGAGAAGGAGAGACACAGATCTTCCATCTGCTGGTTTACTCCCCAGATGGCCTCAGTGATTGGGATGGGCCAGGCCAAAGCCAGGAGCTTCTTCAGGGTCTCCCATGTGAGTGTAGGGGCCCAAAAACTTGGGCCATGCTCCACTGCTTTCCCAGGCACATAAGCATGGAGCTGAATCAGAAGTGGAGCAACCAGCACCCACATGGGACTCTGGGGCTGTAGGTCGGGCTTTAACCTGATGTACCACAGTGCTGAACCCAGCAGGGGACACAAGCAGATGGTAACAGTGGCATTCTCACTGATGTCAGCCTCTTGAAAATTTGCATAGTCTGTCAGCACTGGGTTGCATCTCTAACCCTGCAAAACTTGTGCTTACACCTGGAACCTGGTGACCTCATAGAAGTCTTCTGCCCCCTACGGACTTTTGACAGCAAATGATGTTTTTGGTTTGTAGCTTAGCTTTTTTTGGCAAACAAAAACTACATTTCATAGTTTTATATACATAGATAGTACTCTATAAATGGTAACCACAACTAGCAATGGTGCACCATAAAATTCTGCCCAGATATTTTTGGTCTTGGTAATGAGTCATATAATTGAATCCAGTGAAAAAATGCTTGGATAAGGAGTTAAAGAATAGATCGGAAAAGGAAAAAGAAGGCATGTTAAATCTGTTTACCCTCAGTACCAAATGGTCACAACTACTTTGTAATTTTGATTTGTGAGTTATAAAGATGTAGGTAGAAGGTATAGGCAGAGTTCACCTTGAAGTTCAGTACATTTTCTACAATAGCATTGTAAGTGCCATGACCACTTTAGAAACATCTGGTTACTACTGCATTATGGTTGGAAAAAAATACCATATGTGTATAGGAAAATCAACTTTAAAATAAGTCGTGAGAGCCTTGGCTGGAGGCTAAATGACTGCATAAGCACTGGTCTTCAGACAAGTTTAGACTCTGAGGATCCTTGTGGATCCCTGTCTGTGAATGAGCAGCATTCAGAAACAAAACCAAAATCGCCTTCTCACTGGATTGTCGAATGCTTTGTTTATATTGACAATCGGAGATTGAAATGCTGGTGAAGTAATTGTGTAAAGCAGAGTGAAGACTAAGCAAATGAAATGGCCTTGCTGTAGAGGGTGCAGCTCAGCTGTAGTCACTTGTGTGCTGGTGGCGAATACTTGTGTTACCAGATCTCTCCATAGTTAAAAGCCCAAGCTATATGTTTTTTTCCCCAAAACTTAATCGTTTACCTGATTTTGTTAAGAATAAAAACGTGTGGCTCAACTAAAAATGATCTTATCTCATGTTTTTTTGAAAGAAAGGTTTTTTGTCTGTTCACTGCTGTATTTCTTAGGCCAACAAATGAATTCAGCCTTCAGGCCTCAAATTTGTAACTTCTGACCTACATGTACAAATATTATCTTCGTAAGCATCTGGAGAAAGTAAGGCAATAATCTTCAAGGCTGAAAAGCTAGACAATAAGTATTACTTTTTGTTGTCCTTTTGCAGAAATGTACCAAAATTAAATGCCATCCCTTAAGACTATTTTCATTTTTTGTTAAAAGATGTATGTATGTATTTTAAAAGGCAGAATTAGGAGGAGGAAGAGGAGAGGGGAGAGGGAGATATTTTATTTGCTGGCTGTCTCCCCAAATGACTGCAAGCGCTGGGGCTGGGCCAGTCTGGAACCAGGAACCAGGAGCTTCCTAGTCTCCCAGATGGGTGGTAGGAGCCCAGGGCTCTTGGGCTATCTTCAGCTGCTTTCCCAGATGCATTAGCAGGGAGCTGGATCAGAAGTGGAGCAGTTGGGACTCGAACTGGTACTCTCTTGGGATGCTGGTGGCACAGTCCACAGGTTAGCACACTGCACCACAATGCTGGCCTCCATTAAGTCTGTTTTTACTTCAGGGTTTATTTGTTTTTTGTTAATGATCTGATTTTCCATTTATTAGATGCAAGCTGTAATTATGTCATCTATTTTTTAAGTTTCTTTCTAAATTTACATATGTTTCACGGGAGTCAGTCTTTTGGAACTGACATGTCTTATGACATTTATGCCGCCTCATCTCTTGAGAAAGTTCATAGCTCTAAGAATGGGATTTTCTTTTTAAATTTCTAATAAAATATGCCAAACTGAAGAAGAACGTGGAGTTTACTACTTTCTGGGATATTTATTTCCTAGAGGCAACTATATAAGTTCTGCATATCATTTAAAGGTGTATATTCTTAAATATTTAAAACATAGGAGCTGATAACTATACTGGGAATAAGTTCTTTAAAAATTTTTTTTAGTTATTTGAGAGGCAGAGATACACAGCTCCCATCCTCTGGTTCACTCCCCAAATGCTCACAAGGTCCTGGGCTGGGCCAGATTGAAGCCAGGAGCCAAAACTCAGTCCAGACCTCCCACACTGGTGGTGGGGGCCCAACTGCTTGAATTGTCATCTGTTGCCTCCAAGGGTGTGCTTCAGTAGGAAACAGCGGATTTGGGGGCAGAGCCAGGGCTCGAACCCAAGGCGTTCTGATAGGGGATGTAGGCATCATACGTGGCATCTTAACATAGCCAAACGCCTACCCTCATGCTTTTTAAAATGAAAGCCGTGGAGTATTCTGGAGAATACCTAGATCTTTAAAAATACTGTTTAGGAAAATTAACTGTAGGGAATTTAAGAAGTTGTATATATTAACCCCACTAACTTGAAAATATTTAACTGTATTTTCCTACTTTAAGAAGTTTGTTCCAAAGCTTGTATTTTTTAGTGTTTCAGTGCTTCTGATATCTTGAATCAGTAAGATTTTTTAAAGATAAACAAGTTATATAACAAGAAAGCTCATTTTTTCTGTATTCCCGTTGGCTCTAGCCTGTGCCACCCCTAGACCATCTGGTGTGCCCTCTCCAGGGAGGTGGCAGGGAATGGTAATACAAGAACTTTGAGGTGGAGAGCTACATTCCAACTGATTTTTGAATTTAAACCTCTGACAGGTTAATAATCTTCTTAGATGGCTTTGGGTAGTATATGAATTGGGCATGTTATCCATAAAGAGTTGTGAAAGTTTTGAATTATGTACCTAGTACAGCACTCCCTAGACATTAGACTCAAACTTAGTAAAGTTTGTCATCACCCCATCCAGTTGTAGATGTGACCATTGGCCACAGACCCACTCACCTGGTGCTCCCAACCCACACTTACCCTCTTGTTTTCTCCTTGCCCCCTCTTCTGCTCTGATTTCATCATCCCGTTCTTTTCTCACATTATGCTAGTTTCTGAATCTACTTATCGCTACATCTTTTTTTCTCACCTCTTGGCCAGTCTTTTAAATCATTCCTCTCATTCCTTTTCTGAAATTACACTCCCCTTTTAAAAACACTGAAAGAGAAGTGATACCACTCCAGGGCTTTGGCCTGAGCACGTTTACTTCCTTGGCTAGCTGCTTCTAAAATGCTCCTAGCTTGGACTGCCTGTTTGTTTATTAAGCGTGTGAACTTTGTATCCTTTTGTTCAGGGTCAGCTATTTCACATCAAGTCTGACAAAGCAGAGATTATAAATGGTTCTCTGTGACATCCACCAGGTAAGTGCTAGGACAGGTTCTTGTATAAAATGCATTTCTCATCCTTTCCATTTGCTCCTAGGTTTTTAGAACTTCAGCTATCAAAATGGGCAGAATTTTCCTTGATCATATCGGTGGTACCCGTCTGTTTTCTTGTGCAAACTGCGATACGATCCTGACCAACCGCTCAGAACTCATCTCCACTCGGTTCACAGGCGCCACTGGCAGAGCATTTCTTTTTAACAAGGTTAGTAAGATGAACTCTTCATTCTGGCTTCAGTTGCCAGCAGCACCAAGATTACCCCCTCAGAGCTTGGACACCAGGAAGAGGCTGTGAGCTGAAATCTATAGAAATGATTGCCCAGTAGACCTCAGAGAGGTATTAACTAAAACTGGATTATTGACCTTGAAACTTTAAAGAATGTGTTAAATAAGGGTGGCAGTCCTTGGAGCCAGCACTGTGGCATAATGGGTAAAGCCGCTGCCTGTGGCGCCAGCATCCTGTATGGGTGCCAGTTTAAGTCCTGACTGCTCTACTTCCAATCCAGCTCCCTGCTAATGCATCTGGGAAAGCAGCAGAAGATGGCTCAAGTGCTTGGGCCCCTGCACCCATGTGTTAGACTAGGAAGAAGCTCCTGGCTTCCGATTGGCCCAGCTCTGACTGTTGTGGCCATTTGAGGAGTGAGCCAGTAGATGGAAGATATCTTTCTTTCTAACTCTGCCTTTCAAATAAATAAATCTTAAAAAAAATTACCTCAGGAAATGTGCAGTGTGTAAGAATTTGGTACTTTCACACTGACCATGGAAGAAGGAGACAAGATACCCATCTCCTAGTATGCTTATCCACATAGAGAGGGAGACAGGTGCCTTAAGCTGTTGTGACCAGCCAGTAAAAGTTCATAAGGATCATCTGACCAACTTCTCTTGCTCTAATTCATGCTCACCAATCTTCCTGGTTATGATTTGGTGTATTATGTAGGTTTGGCAACAAGAAGAGTTACCTGATTTGCAAATGTACTCCTATGTCCAGTCTGCCTTCCTCTCGAATTTCTAGCTTGCTTTGAAATTGGTCGATGTGATCGCACCCTGGAGTCTGATGTATACTAGCAAAATTGAATTTCTAAACCTTCCAGGCTGAAGAATAGGGCCTGGTCTGAGGGACTAGTCCTTAGGAGGTGAGTTAAACCTGTAGACAAGCTTCTCTATTAGGATTGATGGTCTGTACTCCTCGACCTTTACTAACGTGCATACGTCAGGCCAGATGCTTGCCAGAAAGATTTAGTGGAACACGGCCATGCTCACACATTTGTGTTACCCTTGGATGTTCTCAAGCTGTAACAGAGTGAAATACTTGCAACAAGACTGTATAGCCTTCAAAGCCAAAAACACTCCCTCTCTGGCCCTTCACAGGAAAGTAGAGAGGACTGCTGGGTCTTCAGAATTAATGGAAATTCTTCACAGATTGTCATGGAACTCTCTTCCTTGTTTTCATTGTCTTCGAACTTAAAAACTGTATTTCAGTGTATGTTCTATAGAAAGCTTAGACTCAGCCTGTCTGAATATAAAATGTATTTCAGAAGCAGATGTGCCGCATCCTTAGGGAGGATCTGTAGTGTGCTCAGTTCTTTCGCACGGATTTCCTGATTGCAGTCATCATTGAACAGTGGGGTGACTCAAATTCCAGGACTCTTCACGACTACACAAACAACTAAATAGTGTGACTTGGGCTAATACTACGCATGATTGCATTTAATGTCCACTGAAGTATGACTTCCAGATATTTACCTATCCTGGTAACTTCTAAAAGTAGCCCTAGAGCAGGGTTTTTGTAGGTTTGACTGAAGTAACAACAAAATTCTGTTTCTAAAGTTGCCATTATTGTACTAATCATAATATTGTGTACTTCTTTGAAAAGTAAAATATCTTTGCAATTTTGTTTTACCTGTTTCTTAGGTGGTCAACCTGCAGTACAGTGAAGTTCAGGATCGGGTCATGCTCACTGGTCGTCACATGGTTCGAGACGTGAGCTGCAAAAACTGCAATAGCAAGCTGGGATGGATCTATGAGTTTGCCACTGAAGACAGCCAGCGCTATAAGGAAGGCCGTGTGATCCTGGAGCGGGCACTAGTTCGAGAGAGTGAGGGCTTTGAGGAGCATGTACCATCTGATAACTCTTGAAGAAAAAGAGATCAGTCCATCTTCTCCCAGGTCTCCTTCACTGAAAACAAAAATCTACTTACATACACTGTCACCTTAGCATCAGAGTCGGATTCATGAACTGCGGAACAAGAAGTTGTGAGAATCTAAGATGGAACCTTTCTTTGTTTCTTTTTTTTTTTTTAAATTTTGTATTTTCCATCCAACAGCAGTGTGTAGAGAGTATTATGCAGATGCAGTGAATTTTCCCCCTGTGTTTACATCTTGAGGCAGAAGAGTTTTTCTGCAGCTACAAGGTGGGCAATGTGAGGAAAAAGTCTGGGCTGTTAGAGAAAGTGTATTTTGTCAGTTTTGGAAGGAAAATATGTCAAGAGCATGATTTTTAAACTTATTTGGCTTCATTTTAAAACTTTTTTTTTTTTAAAAAAAAAACCCAGTTATTTCATTTGATTTGCTAGCTTCAGAGAAGAGATCCGAATCTGTGCCCAGCGCTGAAGGCTCAGTGTTAGCATGGCTTGTGCTGGCCAGTGTGCCATATTCTTGTTGGAGATGAACCGTAGCACCAGAGCCCATTCTTCCTGTCAGTCTTGACCGTTCTTCGTGACTTGTCAGCACGTAACTGGTGTTGATTGGAAACTTCTGAAACGGGGCAGAGTTGCTTGGTTGTCTTTTTCCATGTAACTTAAGCATAGTAATATAAATAAAGTAATAGTTGGATGTTATTGGTCTTGTGTTGCTTTTAAAAATACCTAATAGAGGGTATTTGATAAGTAATTTTCATAGTAGTTGTTTTTTTTATCTCAGTCTAAAGTGACTGTGTATAAGATACCATTCTCTGTTTAAAAGAAAGCACTGTTTAGACCCACAGTACTGAATTTAGAAAACAGTTGAACAGAGTGTCAATGTGCGCTCATGCAGAAAACATTTCATCTGCATCTGTTTTAAAAGGAGGGAGAGATGAATAATACTGCTTTAGAACGCATTTCAGCCTTTCCCCCTCTGTTTTGCATTGATTTTTGACAAATCTGTGGAGCCTAGTAGTTTCACCCAAGGACTAGATTTCTTGCTGTGTTATTTTTTTCAGGTCCTCCCTCAGAAATTCAGCTATTGAAAGTGGAACTGCACTTGGTCCCCTCAAGTAGAAGGGATCAAATTTGACTTGGTATTATTTTAATCTCAAATTTATGACATCACAAAATATTAAAATGCAAATATCCTTTGTATCCCAAGTACTTCTAAATATTCTAGTATTTGATTTTGGTGGAATAGGTAACAGTAACATTGGCTCATTATTCAAAAACGAATGGGTGTTTTACATGCTCAGTTCTAGGTCTTTGTCTAGAAAGGAAACTTGGCCTCACTGGAATCTTTGTCATTGATACTGGGAATGACTTCTGAGTACAGTTAAGTTCTTACTCACCTTTGGACTGGAGGAGAGGCATGGGTTTCTGATGAAGTAAGTGGACATAAATGTACTCTCCCTTCACAGTGGATGCAGACTTCTTCAAGCATTAAGAAACAGCATTCATTCCATTCATTTCCATACTGGCCTTTGATTATGTGCAGAATCCTGGTAGCATGCCTTACCCACAGCACTGTGTGCATCTGCTGTCACAATAAAGCATATTTTGTCCTGCATTGGTGCAGTATTGCTGCGTACTTCCCATTGATTCTGTCTAGTAATAATCCTCTTGCTTTAACCTCTGAGCACATACTTCATACCTTTACATGGTTATAGCTTCACTTGGTGTTGTGGTGAAGTGACATTCTTAGTTAATACTGGCTAATTAACCCCCAAAGGTAATGAGTTTACCAATATTAGCTTCTCTGTCATTTTGCTTTAGACATGGGCAGCTTATGTGTACAAATGTCACTTGGCTAGGTTAACTTTTAGGTGACTGGCAGGTATAGCAAGGAGCTCTCTGTGCCTGCCTTTTCTTGTTTAAAGATTTATTTACTTTTATTTGAAAGTTACATAGAGAGGTCTTCCACCTGATGATTTGCTCCCCTGTTGGCTGCAATGGCCGGAGCTGCACCGACCCGAAGCCAGGAGCTAGGAGCTTCTTACGGGTCTCCTATGCAGGTGCGGGGCCCAAGGACTTGGGCCATCTTCTTTTTTCCCAGGCCATAGCAGAGACTGGATCAGAAGTAGAGCAGCCAGGTCCCCATATGGGATGCCGGCGCTTCAGGTCAGGGCCGTTGCACCACAGCTCCAGCCCCCTGTGCTTGCCTTTAAAAACCATTCAATTTGCCCCCCCAAAAAAAAAAAAAAAAAAATGCAACCAGATTAGTTTGTTTACAGAAAAGCAGATGTTGCTCATTTGAAGTAGGAACACTGACAAGGAAAGAATTTGTTTTGAGGTGGGAAAGATAATGAACCAAGTACAGGTAAAATTACTGTGTAAGTATGTTATTGAGGGAGCACAGATGGAAGCTTTTAGAATCCTTCCTTGTCTCGGTGATGGTGAGCATAAGTTGTTTCGATCTTTTTTTTTTTTTTTTTTTTTATTTTAATTTATTCAACTGAAAGGAAGAGACAGCAGGTCTTCCATCCGCTGGTTAACTCCCCAACTAATCGGCTGGAGCTGGGCCGATCCAAAGCCAGGAGGCAGAAACTTCTTCTGGGTCTCCCACGTGGGTGCAGGGGCCCAAGTGCTGGGCCATCCTCCGCTGCTCTCCCAGGCCGTAGCAGAGAGCTGGATGGGCAGTGGAGCAGCTGGGATACAAACTGGTGCCCATATGGGATGCTGATGCTGACCCCCAAGTTGTTTCAATCTTAAACATGTTTTTAATAAAGAGACCCTCACTGAATATCCTGAGTTAGAAATGCTAGTAAGTATGTAATGATTAAGTTGTAGTTGTGAGTGGCCATTTTGAAATTGAAGGGGAAAAAAATGGTACCATATGTTTTCCAGATTTACTTACTCATGAAGGTTACCTGGAATATGTACATGGTAGAGACCGAGTTCAGCCTTTGCCTCAATTGCTCAACAAGTCATTTTTGAGTGGGCAGAATTGTAAAATATTCAGGTATTCAGAGATGGGTTCCTGATGGTTCATTTCCAAAATAATTATTTTTAAAAATCCCACAACTTTGGCCGGCGCCGCGGCTCACTAGGCTAATCCTCCGCCTAGCGGCGCCGGCACACCGGGTTCTAGTCCCGGTCGGGGCGCTGGATTCTGTCCCGGTTGCCCCTCTTCCAGGCCAGCCCTCTGCTGTGGCCAGGGAGTGCAGTGGAGGATGGCCCAGGTGCTTGGGCCCTGCACCCCATGGGAGACCAGGAAAAGCACCTGGCTCCTGGCTCCTGCCATCGGATCAGCGTGGTGCGCCGGCCGCAGCGCGCCAGCCGCGGCGGCCATTGGAGGGTGAACCAATGGCAAAGGAAGACCTTTCTCTCTGTCTCTCTCTCTCACTGTCCACTCTGCCTGTCAAAAAAAAAAAAAAAAAAAAAAAAAAAAAAAAATCCCACAACTTAAATAGATACCTGTTAGTTGCTTGTCTGTTTAACACCTGCTTGCCAGCAGGAGCCATATGAAACTTCAAGGAAGCTGTGAATTGAGAGTAGCTAGCGCTTTTGTGCAATGTGAACATACCTATTACAAGAGTGAAGCAGAACTTAAACTAGGGTGACTACTCATCCCTGAATTGGATGTTTGTTTTATGGCTTCTGTATTTTAAAATATTGGGCTTTCCAAATTGAAACTTACATAGGAAGGCATAAATCCTAAAGCACCATGAAGATGATGATCATGGACATTATACGTGTTTAGGTTTTTTAAGTCAACTGCAACATGATCACCTGGGTAAGTGTGTGAATTTCCTCCCCATTTTCTCCCCTGGTGCTGATGAGTCTCTGAGGTAGAGCCAAAAATGCTAGCAATTTTTTTAAAAACTAAACTCCCAAAAAGTAACATGTCTGAATAGCAATTCAGAAGGTTATCAAAAAATAATCTATATCTGTTTTGTATTGCCACCTGATGTCAGAAGAGACTTATAGTCCTTAATGACAGGGGAAAAAAGTTTAGGGGCAGCTATGGTGTAGGGGTTGCTCCACTTAAAATGTCTGCATACCAGATTGGAGTTCATGGTTTTGAGTCCTGGCTTCGCTCCCAATTTTAGCCTCTTGCCAGTGCACACTTTGAGAGGCAGCAGATGATGGATTAAGTACTTGGGCCCTGCCACCCACGGGATTGAGACCTGGGTTAAGATCAGGGCTTCTGGCTTCAGCTTTGGCTGTTAAGGATGTTTGGGAATTTAGTCACTGGATGGAAGCTGTGTCTGCCTTTCAAATAAAAGTTAAAAACCAACTAATTAGCAGTTCTCTACATGTTTAAAAACAGTAACTCGTAAGTTGCATAAATATATATATAAAACAAAAACAGAAACTGGCTTCAAGGAGCAGAGAGGTCTCTGTAAAAGAGGCCCCTACTTTGGAGAAAGATTCCAGATGGGAAATCTAAAATCCTGTTTTTAGTACTAATTTCTTGCCCTGTGATTTCAGAAAATTACTTAACTCTGAACCTTAGTTCTGTCAAAGATGAGTTGTAAAAACAAGCCCCATCTTAAATGATTCTTGTTATCATGTAGTGAGACATAATACCATAAAACCTGTTGAATATTATTCAAATGCCCATGCTCTGTTCAATAATCTTAAATAGCCCTTCACAATCTAACCTAATTGTGTTCTAAATGAAAGAATGATCAGAATGCTGTCAAACTCCCTTTAAGCTTTCTTGGACCTGACAGGCACTGCTAAGCTTTTCAACAAATTAGGGTAAGGATCACTTGCTACCTTCCAGTGTGCACATTAGCAGGAAGGTGGAATCGGGATCAGAGCCAGGACTCAAGCCCAGGCACTGTAATGTGGGACACAGGCATCTCAAGTAGCATCTTAACCCCTGTAGAAGTAGCTGCCACCCACAAACTTTTTGAAGAACACTCATATGGTTAGCAGTAGATCAATTTTATTGATCTTTCCAAGGAATTTTTAGCTTTATTGATTTTTTCTGTAGTTTGATTTTTTAAATTAATATTTTCTTTCACTTATTTGGGACTTAATTTGTTCTTTTTCTAAGAGTAAATTTTAAAGAGAAATCACAAGTAATTGATTTGGAGCCTTAATATATAAAGCATTTGAAACTATAAAATTTCTTCTAGACATTCTTAGCCAAATCATGAAAGTTTTAATATCTTGTGTTTTCATTTCCACGTAGTTCAGAACGTCTTCTGATTTGTGATTTCTGTGGTCCGATGGTTGTTTAGAAATGCATTGCTTAAATTCCAAATATTTGGGAATTTTCCAGATACATTTCTGTTATTGAGCTCTAAGTATATTCTGTTGTAAGGAAACATGTAAGAGTGCAATTCTTTTAGACTGAGATTTATTCTTTGGCCTATGGTCTAACTTGGTAAATATTCCATGTGCAGTTAACAGTTTTGGTATTGTTGAGTAGAATTTAAAACGAATGTCAATTTGATCCACACAAAAAAAATTAGGGTATGAAATCTGCAGTTTATCAAACTGCCATTTTGACCTTTTGATATAAGGCTTCTTTCATAGTCCGCTCCAGCTGACATTTTACCTTTCAAAAATCTTAGAGGCTCCTATTCTCTGATGGAGGAGAAGAAGAAAGATTCATAGAATACAGCCTCAATGGTAAAGAGAGTAAGATTCCCACCCCCATGCCTACAAGGTCACTTTGAGAAGAATGCTACAATTTC